AGGCGGGTGACACGATGTTTACCCAGGTTCGGACCCTCTTGATGGAGGTAATACCCTACGTCCTGCTTGATTGTTCTTGATAATATGAGTAGTACAAAAGTTGATCTACCACGAGATCGAAGAGGCTAAACCCTAGAAGCTAGCCTATGGTATGATTGTTGTTGTTGGTCCTACGGACTAAACCCTCCGGTTTATATAGACACCGGAGGGGGCTAGGGTTACACATAGTCGGTTACAAGGAAGGAGATCTACATATCCGTACTGCCAAGCTTGCCTTCCACGCCAAGGAGAGTCCCACTCGGACACGGGACGAAGTCTTTAATCTTGTATCTTCATAGTCCAACAGTCCGGACAAAGGATATAGTTCGGTTGTCCGGATACCCCCCAATCCAGGACTCCCTCAATGGTGATTAATCATTAGTTCTTCAGTTCGTTAATCATTTAGTGATACTTTTTCAGTCCCAATTAGTGTATTAGTATGTAAATTGATTAATAGATTTTCATAGTTTCTTATTTCAGTCTGTCTCATCGGTTAGCTAATCTAGTTTTTAGTTTGCAAAGTTTTACTTTTGACTTTTAGTCATTGTTAATTTTTTGTCTTAATTTTCATGCTTTTATGTCTATGTTTTAGTCATAGTTTCTTATTCCAATTAGCAAGTTGATGAATAGTCGGTTAGTTTTCAATTTAGGTTATTAGTCATTACTTGTTAGTCATGTTTAGTCATCCATTAGTTAGTTCATCAGTATCTTCAGTTAGTCCAGTGTGTTCAAATTATCACCTCATTTTACTTTAGGCTACCACTCACTCGATGTATAGGTTATAATTGTATTTACTTTCAGCCTTTCATCTTCTTCGAGTTGACCAGTCCATATTGTCTCCCTTAATTGTTAAGTTCTTAGGCACTAGTCATGTTTAGTCATCTATCAATTAGTTCATCGATATCTTGAGTTAGTTCGGTGTGTTATGTTAATTAGTTCAATTCCTTTGGTATTCATTTATTTACTCACTTCTTCCTTTAGTTTATATTCCATCATTAATTCTTATAATTATCGGTGTTTTGTGTCTTCTTTTCACATTCTCATTTTGTGCACTATCTCACTAGGACAATAAATGAATTAATATAGGTGGTGTGTAGGGTTTTCACTATTTCCTAGATATGTACTCTTCACAAATCATTATTTCATTATTCATGCACATCTATATATGTATCTTCACTCTTTATCCATCCTATTTCTTGTCATTCGTTCATTCATCACTATTCACTTATCAGGACATTTGTTTCGTCCTTTAATTATTTTGTTCAGTGCATTCCATTTTCCTTAGTCATTTGTTCCATTTAATTTGATAGCCGCACATTTTATCATCGATTGGAACACTTTTTTTTGTTCATGTGTAGTTCTGCCCAGCTACTCAATGATGGTCACCGCCTAGAACCGAGAATTCGAGTTATATGTACCTATGTTCTGATTCCAACTGTTTATCACCAATACATTTTTCCCATTTTTATTATTTTCCTACCATTCGGAGACTAGGACTTTCATATTCCCTAATTCTTGGCGGAGTGTCGATGAATGGTGTGTGTGTGTGTGTGTGTGTGAGAGAGAGAGAGAGAGAGAGAGAGAGAGAGAGAGAGATCACTTCATTTATATGTTTGGCTAGACAGTTGTCTATTAACTTTCCTAGAAGTGGTTGTGAATGCATTTTTTCTGTGTGTTATTTGTGGGCATCTAGAAAATACTATAGGAAGTTGCTACGACCGTGTCGGCAGAAGTTGCAGCTGGCCATGGCAGAGCTAACCGACTTCAACCCGTGTCACGATCGGCTGCAGCAAAAGCTACAAATGGCATCGTCTCGTGTTATGTCCATCGACGACGGAAGCTACAACCGGCCACATCGAGCAACATAGGTTTTTTTGCTGGAATTAATGGTGGCGAAGCTATGACCAGCGACGTCATTTGCTGGAAGTGGCAACATCAAGTGTCGACACTGCCGACACTTGGATGATGCGACGGGTATGGCCATTTGCTAGAACCAACCACATCGATTGTCGGGATCGATGCCGGATGCTAGAACAGGCGGCAACGTTTGTTGGGACTGGTGTTGCCTGATGCTGCAACTGGCTACTTCAGTGTGTACAAGCGCCAACGATGGGGGTGGATTATGTGACGATGACGTGGGGCGAGGACTACGATCCATGACAACTGCAAGGTTTCTGACGAGGATTCGTGCTGGAACCAGCGGGGAGCGGGTGCTTCAAAGCTCCATGGACGGAGAGCGGCGGTGCTTCGAGCTCGGCCGCCTCGCGCATGGGCATGGTGGGGGGCTGGCGATGCTTACTGCAGCCTCTGCTTCACATACGTGGTACCATGATTTTTGAGAGAGAGAGAGAGAAAAAGGAAGGACGAAGCAATGAGAGCAGATCCAACGGTTCACAGCAGCCGCATCGTAGGGCACGGAAGCGGCCGATCGAGGCTGGCGCCGGTCGACCGGCG